GTCTTCAACTTAAAGACCTGCAATTTGTGCATGGCAGACAGAAGAAGCAAAATAAGACTTTTCATCGATCACATGACACCAATCCTCAAGCATATTAAGCARAAGAACCTGATTCCATTAATGTGGGATGACATGATGAGGAAGGCAGAGATCGAAGACATGAAAGGTGACATWAGACATAGCGAAATGTAGACTGACAGGCAAACATACATCAGATAGCWGATCCGACCGACAGTTGAACAAAATGTGAAGTATTTGTAGTAACTGTGTWTGCTGTTTGTTTTACTACCAGAACTTGGTACATTGATGGAGCCCATGGTTTGGGGGTATGGTACTATTTTGCAAAGATACTTTCCACCAGGTATGCCAGTGTACTTATTACTTGCACTATAGTTTAGGAATATGCGAGGTTTTATTAACTATGTGGAGGCTGTATTAACGTTCAATATTTTACTGCAAGTCATGTCACTMTGGTAGACTGGAAGCAGCTGGTAGCAGGACAGGGTTCCATGGCCTGGGAAAAGTCAGAAAATTTCAAATTCCTTCAGTTCAGAAAATTGCCATGGAAGCTTTGAATGTTGTCAGGAAAAGTTGTATAAAGTGTCAGGGAAAGATCAGTGAATTTTGTATCGTTCTCAGAAAGATTGTTTCGGTTCCCAAAGTCGATAGGCAATGAGCATTATTAAAATAAAGAATTTTCGTTGAAAATACTATTAATGAAAGGGTAACTAGTTTGCTAGTTGTTTTAAAAATTCAGGAAATTTTGCTTTTAAGTTGAGTGTGAACCCTATAAAATTRTTCTCACCATATTTATCATTATTGAGGTTAAGAGTTAGATCGTAGATTTTGTCTCGGCTGGTCTACACGCCAACATGGYAACACTTGTAATGTATGGCTGATTYGCACWGGACCAACTACTTTATTTCAAAAATAGTTTGGCACGGAAATTTTTCGGAAGCGGGCGAAACGCGCGCGTGCTCTATTCAACGATAGTACCCTTACGCAGCGGGCAATATCTTGTCAGATAGTAAACTATCGAACAATAAGAGCGGACTAAAATGTGTTGTTGGACTATGTTAACTGTTATTATAAAAATGATTTCTAAAGCGCGCTCGGATTGGCCAAAAAAGTGTGGTTTATGAGAGTATAAACCACGGCTGAGCCTTATTTATTTGTTAACTAAACGTTTTAAAATTTTCAGGAATGTGGGAGAGATTCTCGACTGTTTTTCCCAAAATGTGGGTTGCTAGCGCTTTTAAAGGTAAGACAACAACTGGAGAGCACCATGAGACTGCCACACTATTTAGACTTTTAAAAATTGAGGTAGTAGTCCTCGACCGATAATATCGGGGGACTAGTAACGAAGATGTAAACGAGGCATCAAAGGCCTCAAAAGGGAGATCGCACGTGTGGCACAGTCAAAGTTTGAAAGATTTATAAATTAGAAACCCATCCAAGTTTGAATGCTTGCTTATACCTACGAAGACTGATTCGTTTTAGTACTTCGTCCCCAGTGYCCTGGTCGACCACCGTCACATATTTTGAAAGTCATGAATGATTTTCTTAATTCTTTGTATGCGATGTTTTATAGGAGCAACCAARCCCGACAGCATTTATGTTCCCATTAAATTCCATCTCCAGAATAACTTGGACTGGCTGGATGCCATTAACTCTCTCCCTAAGTCTACTATTGTAGAGGGCATTGCCTTGACAGGGTGGAGTAGGTTAGCTTTTTGCTCTTTTATCTTTCGTTGTTGTATTTTTTTATCATTATTATCATTATCATTATCAGTTTCTATTGCCATTGCCATTGCTGTTTTTGGCAATTCGATTTGTTTGAACCATCCTCGGTAGCCTAAAGGGTTTTTACTATTGCGGGCTATCTAGTAGTCCTTGGGTTTCCGAGGATGCTGTGTTCAGTTTRTGTACTGATTTCTCTATTGTTTTGTTACTTCCAGGTTTGATCATTACGSTGCTCTTTGTGAACTACTACCAGCGGGTCTTCCATCACTGGCCTTCTGTCTTAAGGCTCTAACCCAGGGTAGGCCGGTCTARTGTTTAACTTAGGAAGCCATTGTTTTAATATATTCAYCGCAGTTCTTTTCATCATTTCATCATTTATTCCTAAGTGTGTATGGGCTCATCCAATCAAGTGACTGACGCTCGACATAGTTGGTTTCATAGTATATCAAACAATTGCTTCGGAGAAAAATTCATTCGTTTGCCAAACTTTTGCTGACCATATATGGTAATCTTACCTTATAAGGAAGTACGTTAGAAAGTTTTTTCAAGTTTTTTCCACTTTTTAGTGCTTTAAAATGGCTTAAACTTACAGAATTTGCAGAGAAATTGCTTTTCAACATGTCGGCCATTATAATTTTGTCTTACATAGTCCCCTCCCATCCTTTAAAATAAGGAATCCCACATAAAACACAGGTAGCCCTCACGAATGTCAGACAATTATTTGATATGGCTCAGTTGGTAGACCTTGGTAGAGCATTGCACCAGCATCGCAGAGGTCATGGATTCGATTCCCGTTGAAGCTAGAATTTTTTATAGATAATCTCTTAGATTATTATTTCAAAAATAAGTTGATCTGATTTCTTTATATGACTCTTATTAATAGCATTTCCGTTTTAATTTTATAAATCGTTCTCTTGCTTTTATCCAGGCGAGATGAATGAAAGCTTGGAAAAGGAGGTCATTGAAAGCCTTGGACTGCCTCAAAACTTCAGTCTCGAAATTACACCTTACAAGAGAGAGTAAGTGTTTGGAAGACTTGTTTGGAAGACTTGACCCAAGTCGAACAAATGGGAAATTCCCTAAGATCAGATGACATGATTCGCTCTACTCTTTGAAATCCTTGAAATGTCCTGGAATTGAAAACTCGATTTCAAGGGCGATTGAAAAGACCTTGAAGATGGGGAAAATCGCTGAAATTCCTGGAAAACTCCTTAAATCTGATGCGTTTTAGCCACTGGAAACGTTCGCAGACATCAAAAAATGTCTTCAAAAATAGTCCTTGAAAATCGCGCATTTTTATGTTGAAATAGTAGTTGAAAAGTCCAGGAATTTTGTACTGAAAATGTAGCTCGAACTCTGGATGAACACTTGGGTGAATTAACTAACTTACTTGTTTGCAATAGATATGARGATGTACCTGCAACATTCCCAGGTCATGAGATCTATACACTGGTCGGTAACTTAACAAAAGCTTTGTATTCGCTAAATGGAGTTCGGCATCTGTAAGTGTTTTTTGTTGTTATGTTTTGTTATATTTTGATTTTATTCGGCAGTCTATCATCCATTAAACTGACCTCTGTTAAAGCAAAGAGGGGAATGGTTTGGAAACCTTTTGTTGTACTTCTCTTGTGCATCGTTTGTATGAATTATAAGGTTGAATCAGTCAAGACAGGCACTTCTTATACGGACGATGGAAACTGCAAAATGACGAAACATAAACACTCTCTATGAGATYATGAAATGAAATATTCCAATATTGGCTAAACATTTTTGTGCATTTTGAAGAAATAGTCAAAAGAATAATTTTCGCTCTGTTCATTCAGATGTGACCAGTTTGGCWAAAACAATAGTYAAACAAAARATTGTGCACGGTCACGCTTGGAAAAAAGTGTGCAAAAAACTTTCAACAAAAGGTTTCCTAACCATTTTCCTGTACAAATTATGGTTCAAGCCGTCATCCAATATACCCCAAACAAGACGATATTCAATGTTTTCTCACACAACCTTTGTTAATGCTCCTCAAAGCTAKTTTTCACTAARAGGTTACCAGTAACCTCCAATGCATCCTCGGAAAATTTTGAGTCCCTGTAAATTTTGTCCTTTTGTATTTTATTAGGARGTCAGGCTGGATGCTTCCGCGACATATCACCAGTAAATTCCTCAGCTATCAGCATGTTCACAACGCACTGAATTATTCACAATTGTAAGTACACAGGCAATATATTCTAAAGGCCCGTTTACACTTGCGATTTTTTTAGTTGGGCGATAATCGACATAATCGCAACTTTGCTATCGCTCAACTAAAATCGTACGTCGATACATGCATCAGGAATTTCAGAGAACAATGCGTCCGCCATCTTGAAAAGTGAGCCCCAAATCACTGTTTTGCTTTAGAAAAAAATTCGTAGTTCAATGCTCAGTCAACTAATCTATCATTATATCGTATATTATATTAACTTGACATTAGCTTAGAACGTTTTAATTTCTTTAGGAGTTATAATTTAGTGATTCGAGTCCCACTTGTCAAGATGGCGGACGCATTGTTCTCCGAAACTCCTGATGCATGTATTGTTTAAGGGCGTAGACGGAGATACGAATTTTATCTTCTCATGTTGAAAATCGCTGCTCTTACTCGTGAGAGATCTTTTCAATCTTCTATTTATGATATTATTTTGAGTTTGAACCATGTCAACATATACCTTTAGTCTACTAAAATGGYGTCTTATTATTTCATTTCGTTATTTTTATTTTGAAATGGGAGCGGATTGTGAACCTCATCTTCTGTAACTWAWAAGGCATGAGAGTATTSCGATKGGTGATASCATTTTKAACTTTATTGTTACAGCGCTTTGGRCCTTCTGACTCCTCTGAATGAGAAGTTTCTTGAGCCGCTTAACGAGATCTACGACGAGGACACGGTCAAAGAATGGATTACGGACAAAATAACCGATAATATTCGCTACGCCAAAAGAAAGGCCAAGGAGTTATCCGATCTTGAGAAAAGACTAGATTAATTCAAAGTCATCTTTGGTAAACATATAGCCGATTTCAAGAACAATTTGTAAAGAGAACAGCGGTTTCTGGTAGCAATTTTGTCATTTGATACTTTTGACATATATCTACAAGGTATCAATGACATAAAGTTTGCGCAAYATTCCCGCACCTTTGCTTCTAAACCTATCAGAAAGCAAAATTCAAGAACAATTGTCAAAAGAAAGCGAACGATCGCAAAGGTCCTCATATGCGAGTGGGTCTTTATAAAACATGAACAGGAGGCCTTATGTATACAGTTGACTCTCTTTGAACGACCACTCTCGTAAGCGACCATATCCCGTAAGCGACCACCTTTTAAATTTCCCTTTATAATTGTTTCCCATATAAACTCTGTAAAAAAAACTCTCTCGTAAGCGACCACTTTTCCTGATGCCGAGGTGGTCGCTTAGGAGAGAGTTGACTGTAATTTAAAACACGAGAGAGAGTGTTTTATCAGGTACCATCACACATTGAATATGCATAATAAAATAGAAGCGCTGGTGGCTGTTCTGCTGCTATCGGTTGACATCCTGCATTGGTCAATGATCAGGTATCAAACCTGAGACCTCTGCTAGGGTCATGGACCTTTACTTCTGATAAAGGTCACCCTTATTAGTATTCTTTATTTAAAGGAACATTTAATGCGACTCATTCTATTGGCCTAAAAACTCATTTATTTATACATTATTATTATACATTTCAACTGTGTTTTGTAACAAGTGTTCCTAATATACACATGTCAAACTTTGAAAGATTGTTATTGATTACATAACAAATATCTTCTACAAAACAATATGGTGGCAATAAACAATCGGACAATTTTGTATAATTAATGAGTTATACTTTGACGTCATCAAATTAGCATAAAACCAATTTTTCTCTGAAATTAGAAGCCTACATCCAGTGGCACTTTACAGAACTATTATTTTCTTCATATTGATTTTATTTTCAAAACAAAAAAATCATGTCATATGCACTTTAATTAATTTGATAAATCAAGTATAGTTGGGTGACACAATCTTGAGCTTTTAAACGGGTGAATGTGTTCCCTGACTATTGCTCTGGGTGAACTTTATTAGAAATGGTTGTAAAATTCTCTAACATTCGAACTCYATYTTGAGTTTCATTGTTTGTTAAGGCTGATTTACACGGTACGATTTGTCGCGCGCGACTTGTAGTATACGATTTTCCTACTACAAGTCGTAGGATTTTAAGCAGTGGTTCAAAAACCTACTACAAGTCGTAGGTTGCGTACGACTGTTGTAGACAAGTCGTAGGGGCATTTACACTGCGCAATTCAAGTCGTATACTACAAATCGCACGATACAATCGTGCCGTGTAAATCAGCCTTTAGAAGAAACTGATGGATGCCAAGGGTGAGCATCAACTAGGCGATAGACCTCCTCTGAGTAAGCAATCCTTTTTAACTCGGACATTGCGTTAGCAATCGAAGATTWATTTTGTAGGTGAACGATATGTCACTCAGTGAACACTCACTCACTTTCCTGTAAACTGCTTTGTTGCCTTAGTACACTGCTATTTTTTGGACTTATTAATCAATTTTTAAGACTTCTTGGAGGTAYAATTCTTTTTTGTACTTCCATCCTATTCTTGTATCTTCTCAAGTGATGATGAAAGACAAGAATATTATTCTCGATCGGTTTGAAATGGGACGAACATTGTCTGAACAGAGGAGGAATATTGATTTATTTTSAAAACATTTTTTTAGATATACATATTTATGTGGAGAAAAAATCGTGTAAAAGAAGTTAATGTACAAAGAATAAAAAAGTTGTATTCTATTTTTGCTCATTGTTGAGATCGAGACTAATAACCTGAATGAAAATTGGTGGGCAATCACTTAAAAAAGGACAAAATAGGCCTTTTGCACGGTCAATGGTACTAAATCCCCCATGATACTGGATGGCAGAATATTGTATACAACCTCAAAAGCAAAAGGACGCAGCCCGTCAAGCTTTAATTTTCTTTGTTTTGAACATCGCGGTGGGAATTTTGCCATCCAGTATGGCGAATTTAGTACAATGTTACCATTTCATGCAAAGGCTATAATAAAGAAAWWTTTGGCTGGGGAGAAAGCTGTCCATCCAGCCATACGTTCTCATTCTAAATTTGAGATCGTTAATAGCATAATTATCAACTAACATGGCATAAA